ATTCTTCATAGAGTGGGAATGACATTGTCTCTGCCTTACAGAAAATGCAGACCATCTCTTTATGGAAGACTGGCCACATAAATGTCTATTGCAACCATGGCCTCTTTTGAACTTCATTCCTGTGGCTGCTTATCTAGAGGTTCATTTGGAAAACTGAATTTATCACTATAATGGTCGCAATGTCATATCAACTTCCATGTCTAGGTACACAATTGCCAATAAAATAGTTTTACACTTAAACATTTTGCTTAGAGGGATGCTCCTTCTTGATAATTTGTGCTATCTTGAAGCAAAAAATAATCACATCTATTTATAATGAGCAATGATGCATCTCCACCGGCAACCCCACTGGATATGGTTCTGTCAGACACTATCAGCCATACTTTGCAGTTATAATTTCCTAACTTATAAAAACATATCTCAGATGATCACATGAGCTCCCTCTTTATGCAAACTTAACAAGTAGAGATTCATATTATAGAACCACTACCCTCATTACTCCTTGTCTAGGGAATTCACAATGTGGCCAGCTTGTATATACTTTGCTTGTATATTAGATATCAAACATACCAAATAAAAATATAACCTATTCAAAAACCTTTGACTTGACCATGCTTTAAACTGCTTATGTAGAAGGACCACTATTATATTCACAAAAATTGTCATTTTACAGTGAAACAAAATTATAACAACATTCACTAATGATCTAATAAGTGATAAAAACTGTTTTACTAGCTGTGGGGAAGGTATACATATAGTTAAGATAATGTCTCTTCTCTAGGAAATCATAATAATTCCAAAATATACATAACACTCTAATTGAAGCAGTGATAATAATCACATAAGGGCTATAATGGAGATATGCATGAAGTGCTATCAGAGCACAGAGGACAGAATTAATTCTTACTTACGTGTAGGAATCATGGAAGGCTTTGAAGAAAATGATGACTATGGGCTGAAACTTTGGAATTGGTTGGACTTTGAAAAGTTGATGAGGATGTAAAGGGATGGGTGGCCTGGTATAGTGGCTGGGGGTGGGAGGGCAGGCAGTAGTGGAGGGAGAATGCATTTGAGTAAAGGGGAGAAACATCCAATGTAGTTTCCTCTTTGCTGACTGTCATACATTTTTAACTTTGGAGGGAAGATGGAAGAAAATCTATTGAACCAATTGTTTTGGCTGCTCTGATGTGATCACAACATTGCTTATATGGATTGTCAAACAAGGGATGAGCTCATAAAAGGATATTAATGTGTCGTTTTTATTGAGCAAAGTAGCATTACAGAAAAGGTGATTTCAAAGGCACATGGCTCTTTCATTACAGCCTTCAGGGGCAATGTTTGATCACTGAAAACAGGCTGCTTTGTTCCAGCTTTCTCTGATGTTTGGCATTATCCTGAATACATATGCTCTGACTTGGAAAGAATCAGTCTGTAAAGATTTAATAGATTTGAGATTTGCATATTCAAAATACATGTTTTATGGTTAAAATGAAATGAAAGCCATTTTAATATGTATGTCTATATATACACACAGATATATTTCAGAAACACATCTCAGCAATTTTTTAAAAGCAATTACACATATTATGTGTTTGCTTTGAGATAATGAAAGTTGGCTATTTTTAAACTCACCATTTTAATTTATCATGAAGGAAAAAATATATTTTAAGACACATTATATTAGTGTTAACAAAGTATAAGATTTCCAGTTTTAGGGACTTGAGCTTTGCTATATGTCCCTGTCACCTATCATAGACATAACTTTCTAGTGCCGGATGTCTCTGAACACTTTCTTTATTAAAAATGAGTTAACAGCTTTCTTGGTTGAAGAAAATTGGAAGTCACAAAATATTAAAGAGAAATTATAAAAGATTAGCATTTACAAGATGTCCTTTTCCTTATGTGACTGAAATAAGTGACCTTTTTTCTTCCAAAAGGAAAGACTTGCTTGGAAAAAGACCTGCAGAGTCAAAAGCTTTTCTTGTGGTGACCAAGACTCATGAAATTTGTTTTTATAGAACTCTCTGGCTTCTGTTCCATGTGAATTGGTATGAAATCTCACACAAATTTATCTTTTTATTTTGAATTACAATTGAACCTTTAAAAGAAAGATGACATTCCAACTCAGCCAATTTGATATACATTACATTTACAATTAGATAACCATTGCACTGAAATTAAGCCCGACAGACTTCAGCTGAGATGGGCTAGGTTAAATTATGTTCCATTTAATGTGACAAAGAAAAATTTTACTTCTTGCTCCTTTACTTAAAATCCTTCCCTTTCCCTCTCTCCACTTATAACATCCTCTAACTCAATGACGCCCAGTGTTTTCTCTGCTTAACACATTCTCCCCTCTCTGTTAGTTTTGCAACAATTTCAAAACAGAGACTCTTTTGTTATCCATTTGTTGCCTAGGCCAACGTTTGCAAACCTTAATGTACTTATAAATCATCTAGGGATCTTGTTAAAAACACAGGTTGTGATTCAGCAGGTCTGGGGTCTAAGATTCTAACAAGCTCTCAGGTGATGCAGTGGACCAAGGTTTGTATAGCAAACACTTAGAGTACAAATGACCTGTTGTTAAATGTGTTCTTGGACCATGATAACTGGAAATGTAGATTTTCTGACTTTGAGGTTGCTTCAGACTTTGAATTACTTTTTTATTTATTGATAATGAATCAATAATGAATGCTCTGAACCATCTGGACTCCCTCTACTTCTCTAGTCTCTGTTTTTACCACTTCCTCTTTCTTACTTTACATTTTAGACATAACAAAGTACTTAAAGTTTCCAGAATGTATCAGGCTCTTTCACACGTCAGTACCTTTTCAAATACTATTTCCTCTGCCTGTCCTGGTGTCCTCTGACTCTTCCTTTAAAACTCAAATCTGCCGCCATCTCCTCCATGAATCCTTCTTTAATCTCTTTTTCATGTAATTGCATGATTAAATGCCTTCAGTATACTCCCACAATGCCCTGTATTTCCTTTATTACACCTTTCTCATAATCTGTCGCAATTGTCTCCTTAATTGTTCTTTCCCTTCAAGACAATGCTTCTGGGGGGAAGCAATTTTTATCTCTGATTCCTTTTGCCAATAAACAACATAGTAGGTTTTTTTTTTTTTTTTAATCAAAGTTTGCTGAATGAATGAAGAAGGGAAGTTGATGTGTTGTAGTCATACAAGAATGTAATGCGGTATTTCGTCTCATGAAGTTTAAAATTGAATTGGGAGTCATAAAAACAAACATAAAAAGTTAAGTACAGGCTGAGATAATACTAAAGATATAAAATGTTAGTATGTGATTAATTGCCAAATGAGGATCATAGCAAATAACCATTCAGAGTCAATTGGAGGAAAATGTTACTGTGGATTTATTAGTATTTTTAATATCTCAATTTGTTCCACAAAGGACTTGAGCCTGCTGATAACACTATGTATTAAAGTTAATGAAACTATGAGCACATGTGTAGTTAAGGGAATAGTATGAGACAAGGAGAGGGTTATGGAAATATGCACTCAAAGCTTGAGGAATGGATAGATTATCTTTAAGATGTATTCTTTAGATGTATTCTTCTTGTCTGCAAAAGTGCTTCTTGCTAAGATATGGACAGTAATGTGGGTGTGCTGGATTTTCATACCCACTCTGCCTGGGAAACTGACTTCTGTGGGGACATGAGCAGCTCACTTGTCCTCTGGCTTCTGGCAGAATTTGGTTAATGGGATGCCTTTGGAGAAGAGTGAGGTCAGGACATTTGTTTTCTTTGGTTGCTTAGAACTGTCTGTGCCACCTTTTTAAAGATGGCCCCTATGATAAACCTCCTGAAATTATTCTAATTTGAGTGTGCCCTGTCACCTACTAGGACTCTGGTATGACCTCAGAGTTGTTGTTTAGAGCTACATTGGATGTCAGGCTTAATGACTTTTCTGACAACCATTAATGCCATAAAAACATTTGAGGTACATGCTGTATATCAGGAACAATTGTATGAGGAGGTGGTTCAATACAGAAAAATTCAGAAAACAAATTAGCAAACCTAAAATGCTGTGCTCATATACTTTACATTTAGTATGGCAAAGGCAATGCAAACCATCTTGGAGGTCAGGAACAACTGATATATATAAAAGCTCACAGCTCTATATACCAGCCTTAAGTTTAGTGTTGAATTGTAAAGCAATAATACGCCAGAGATGTCATTTTTAGGTTGTTTCCTTTTCACTGGGGGTAGATTATCCAGAATTTTTGCCTCTGCTCTTGCCTGTTGCTCATCTGCTGGTTATTTTACTACTCACTGTCCTTCTGTCAGGGAATATTAAAGGAAAATAAGTGAATGAAAACTTAGCTGTAGCACCTATGATAAAAATTTTGTCAAGAAGAAGACTGAAATCCTAAAATGAAGCTTTTCAGTTTATCTGGGTTGGTCTGCCCCCTATCGCCGTAAAGATATTCAGAATGGTTTCTAGCTTGTCAAAAACCAACAGATAAATATGGGCAAAAAGTTTTACTTTCATGCTAATGAAGAGAACCAGATCTAATAAATAAATATGATCCTGTTAATATGAAGCCCTAGTGTGCAACCCTCTGTCTTTTCATATCCGATTGTATGACAACCTTGTTTGCAGTTGTTACTTAGATCATTGTTGAGTCATATAAGCTTAATTTTGTGACCCAGCAAAAACAGATCATAAATCTCAGTAGTGGGAGATATGTTTGTAGTTTGACCATGGTAAGATGAGCTAAGGGTGCTGAGGAAACCATAAATTCAATTTACAAAAATAAAGAAAATAAGATTATTTATACTTGGCCCAGTGGAAAAAGTGAAAATCTAATATTTTTCTGGTCTATGCTGTCCATTTTGTCAAGCTTGATTAAATTCCTGTTTAGTAGGTAGCTAAGACAGGAACTGAATTAAAACACTTTATATTAAGCTTTTGAGTCTACTTTGTTTTTCACTGTTTTCTTTTTAAAAAGCTGTTTTAACTTTTCTTTCCTTTTAGGCTCTATTTATGAAATGTTTGGAAATGAATGCTGTTTTTCAACAGGAGAAGTGATTAAAATTACTGGTCTCAAAATTAAGAAGATCATAGCTGAAATTTGTGAGCAGATGGAAGGTTGTGAGTCTCTACAGCCATTTGAACTGCCTATGAATTTTCCAGGTACAGTGTATTGCAACCACTTATCATTTGTACAACTATATTGTTAATATGATGTATATATACACAACTGAAAACGAGAAAAAAATGGTCTTTTTTTCACTCTAGGACAATGGGTGAAAAAAATCCAGAATTGTTATAGTTTGATCATTTTAAGAACAAATGGAAGGCAACTATTTTCTCCTTTTTTAAAGTGAAAGATGTTTATCTTGTACTTAAGAAGTAATCTTTTTGGTTAACAAACATTTAGTGAGTTCCAACTCTATACACACCGCTAGTTGTGCTAAATAATGAGAACCAAGAAATCAAAGATATATTTTCATAAATTCTGTAGAACTAAGTAATATAATTTAAGCATATCCACCCTGTTTGCTATTCTTACTGTCATTACTCTGGCTCCTTGGATCACCGTTGACCTTGCCTATGTAATATTACTGAAAAGTCTCCCTGGTCTTTTTTTATCTAATTGACTCTACTCAGCCTTCCAAAACTAACTCAAGTATCATGCCATCTAGAAGACTTTTGCTGACCCTCTAACCTAATCTAGATTTCTCTTTTATGTTCCCACAGTATCTTGGGCCTCATAGCATACACCTCATTGGATAGTCATTGATGACTTCCTCTTTTGTCATATTTTTTACACTAGGAGTTGGCAAACTTTTTCTATAAAGAGCCAGATAGTAAATCTTTTAGGCTTTGTGGCCAGAGGGTCTCTGTCACACCTATTTCACTATGCTATTTATGTTGTAGCACGAAAGCAGCTCTGGATAATACATAAACCAATGAGCATAGCTATGGCTCAATAAATCTTTATTTACAAAAACAAGTGGCAAGCAGGATTTGACTCATCAACTGTAGTTTGCTGAACTCTGCTCTAGACTAAAACTCCTTGACATGAAATATGAACATGTGATTTTGTATTTCTGATTCAAAAACCAAGCACAATTTTTGGCACAATTGAGTGTGTGCTCAGTAATTGTTAACTGGATGAATGAATGAATGACTAGTAGAAGAGAAAAATCTCACAAACCTTTACAATATAATATGTTTCATGGTGTGATGGAAGTATACTGTGTCCTTTGTGGGGCTTGAAAAGGAATATCAGATTATAGTTGGTTGTGTTTCAGAACGGGGATTCTGGAGCCATTGTACTTGAATCCTAGCTCTGCTACTTCTTAGCTGGATAACTTTGACAAGTTATTTACCTTCCTTTCATGTAAAATGGGAATAATAATACTATCTATCTCCTAGCATTATTGGGAGGGCTACGTATTGAAATATATTTAGGTGACATATATTATTTACGTGATATACTGCAAGGTGCATTAAAAAGTGTCAGCTTTTATTACCATTTTAAAGATATTATGACTATCATTGGAGGAGTCAGGAAAAGCTTTTTAGGGATGTTTTAATTGAGCTGTAGTTGGAAGAATGAAAATATATTAGTTATATTGAAGTGAGGATTTTTTCAAGTGCTCTAGTATCCAGTTCCCTTTCAAGTGAAACTTTACATGTTGTTCAATTCTATGTCTTTCTTACTTGTCTTTTATTAACAATGATTCTCAAATTTGGCTGCACATTAGAATCACCCAGGGAGCTTTAAAAAATTCTGATGTTCAGGCCACTTACATGAGATATTCTGATTTGTTTGCTCTGTGGCAAAGTCTGGTCATCAAGGTTTCTTAAAGCTCCCAGTGTGATACTAATGAGCAGCCAGTGTTGAGAACCATTACTTTATAAGATGCTTCTCTGAAGTACTCTAATTAGATGTAACAATTCCCTTTTTAAATCACTATAGTCTTTCGTGCCTTAATCATTGCATTTGTCACATTTTGCATGTAATTGAGGTTATTTGTGTACTTGTCTGACTACCACCATTTGTCTAATAGATCACAAGGTTGCTGTGGGCAGAATCTGAATCTTATTTATTGCAATAATCCCCAAGGTATTTAGAAAAAGATGAACATAATAAATAGTAAGTTAAAATGACTAGAATCTTTTGGTAGAAAGAGATTTTTCTTATTAGAATGGTGCAAACACTTAGTTTTTGGCTAACAGTTTAACTTGGGGAGTTGCCATTTAGAATATTCTTTTGAACTTCCAATTGGCATGATAATCTTGCATCTATTAAGTAACAATTTGAAAATGATGTTTATAAAACAGTTTTATTGAAAAGAATAGGGTGAAAATGGGAGGGTAAAATGATTGGCACTGATTAGGGTATAGTTTCTTTTTTCAAAGAGAGCTCCTAGATAATGACGAAAGGGATCCCAGATACAGGGATAATTCTTCTACATCGGCACTAGTGAGAAAGATAGAAATCAAGGACACTAATGTTATTCAAAAATTTTAATAGCCGCATCTCTTTATTTATGCTATATTTAAAACTATTTAAGTTCCCAATTAGATTTTCAACTTAAAAAGTCAAATAGTATTTTAAAACATTCTTCCTTATTTGTGAATTTCCCAAATTTCCTTTTGATACTGATTTCTAATTTTATTGTGTTATGGTCAGATGACATATTTTGTATGACTCAGTCCTTTTAAATTTAGTGAGACTTTTTTTTTAGACTAATATATGATCTAGAGAATGTTCTGTATTCACTTGAGAAGAAAGTATATTCTATTTTTGTTGGGTAAGTGTTCTACAGATGTCTGTTGGTTTATGTGTGTTGTTCAAGTCTTCTATTTCTTTGTGTATCTTCTATCTAGTTTTAGTCGTTATTGAAAGTGAAGTGTTGACGTTTCCATCTACTATTGTTGAATTGTTTATTTTCCCTTCAATTCTGTCAGCTTTTGCTTCATGTATTTGGGGTCTCTGATGGTAGGGGTATATGTATTTGTAATTGTTATCTCTTCTTGATAGAGTGATCCTTTTACCATTATATAATATCTTTTGACTCTAGCAGCAATTTTTGTTTTAAAGTCTATTTTGTCTGGTATTAATACAGTCACTCCAGTTTTCTTCCAGTTAATATTTGCAAGGTCTCTCATCTTTTATTCTTTTACTTTCAAACTACAGATAGTCCCCGACTTATGATGACATGATTATATTTTTTCAAGTTTACAATGATGCAAAAGCAATATGCATTCCATAGAAAGCATACATCAAATTTTGAATTTTGCTTTTACTAACTGCAGGCTAATGTTAGTGTTCTGAGCACATTTAAGGTAGGTTATGTTTTGAACTCCTTTGGGTAAATACCAAGGAGTGTGATTGCTGGACTGTATAGTAAGAGTATGTTTAGTTTAAAGAAACTGCCAAACTATATTCCAAAGTAGCTGTACTATTTTGCATTCCCCCAAAAAATAAATGAGAGTTTATTTTGTTCCACGTCCTCACCACTATTTGACTTTGTCAATATTTTGGATTTTGGACATTTTATAAGGAGACACTTATGGTATATCATTGTTTTAATTTGCAATGCCCTGATGGCATGTATTCAGGATGTGCTTTTCGTATGCTTGTTTGCTATCAGTACATCTTTGGTGTTCAAGTCTTTTGCTCTTTTTTTTTTTTTTTTTTTGGTGAATTTAGCATTTTCTGCACCTCTTTATTTTTCCAATATCTTAAACTTTTTTTTTTAAATTATACTTTAGGTTCCTTTTGCTTGTTTTTTTTTTTTTAAATTGGGTTCTTGTTTTTCTTATGTTTCAATAATTCTTTGCATATTTTGGGTAACAGTCTTTATCAGATTTGCCTCTTGCAAATATTTTCTCCCATTCTGTGGCTTGTCTTCTCATGCTTTTGAGAGTATCATTAGCAGAGAAGTTTTTAGTTTTAATGAAGTCTAGGTTATCAATTCTTTCTTTCATGGATTGTGCCTTTGGTGTTGAATCTAAAAGTCACCACTAAATCCAAGTTTATCTAAGTTTTCTCCTATGTTATTGTCTAAGAATTCTGCATTTTACATTTAGGACTGTGATTCATTTTGAGTTAATTTTTATTAAGGGCATAAGGTATGTGCCTGGATTCATTTCTTTGCATATGGGCATCCACTTGTTCTAGCATCGTCTGTTCAAAAGAGTATCTTTACTTCTATTGTATTTCCTTTTCCTTTGTCATAAACCAGTTAACTATATTTGCATGAGACTACTCCTGGGCTCTCCATTCTGTTGCATTGATCTATTTGTTTATTCTTTCACCAATACCACAGTGCCTTGATCACTGTTGCTTAGTAGTAAGTCTTGACATCAGGTAGTGCCAGTCCTTTAAACTTGTTTTTCTCCTTCAAAATGGTGTTGGCTATTCTGTGGCTTTTGCATCTCCATATAAATTAGAGAATTAGTTAATATCCACAAAATAATTTGCTGGGATTTTTATTGAGATTGTATTTAATCTATAGATCTAGTTTGGAATAACTGACATCTTGACAATGTTGAGTCTTTCTATGGATGAACATAAAATATCTCTTCATTATTTCAGTTTTTGATGTTTCTCATCAGAATGTTACAGTCTTCCTCATGTTGAACTTGTACATATTTTGCTAGATTTATATCTAAGTATTTTATTGGGGGGGATGATAATGTAAATGGTATTGTTGTTTTTTTCTTTTTTGAGACAGAGCCTCGCTCTGTTGCCCAGGCTGGAATGCAGTGCTGCAATCTCGTTCACTGCAACCTCCACCTCCTGGGTTCAAGTAATTCTCCTGCCTCAGCCTCCTGAGTAGCTGGGACTACCGGTGCCTGCCACCACAACCAACTAATTTTTGTATGTTTAGTAAAGATGAGGTTTCACCATGTTGGCCAGGCTGATCTCGAACTCCTGACTTCGTGATCCACCCGCCTTGGCCTCCCAAAGTGCTGGGATTATAGGCGTGAATCAGGATGCCCGGCAGTATTGCATTTTAAATTTCAAATTTTCTTCTTTATTGCTGGCATATAGGAAAATGACTTTTGTATCAAACTTATGTCTTGTAAACTTGCTTTACTTTATCATTTATTCCAAGTGTAACTTTGCTATAATTACTTATTACTTCTAGGAGGCTTTTTATGATTTTTCT